ACAAATCGGTGGGATAGACTACTCGTCGGGAGCCGCCTAGCCCGCACCTCCTCCCCGGGGCTAAGGTACCCCAAGCTACCACCGAGCTCGGGGCCCCCTGACCTTTCCTAATATCCGAGCTCCTCCTAGTGGACCTCAGGCCACTCCTAGATAGGAACACACTGATTCGCTTATAGATACCCCGAGGTGAAGACACCTCGGGCTAGACAACTCGGCTTAGCTTGCCACAGGCAGCTCATCGCTTACAAGATAGCCCGGTATAGGGTAACTCGCGGAAGGGTAGCTCGGCATATCGCAGGAGGATCTCCTGCCCGACCACCGTACCTGACAAATTTGAGGACAACAGCCATATCCCTCGTCAGACAGCGTCGTGCCTGCCACCTTTAGAGGGTGCCTTACACCTGATAGGCACGTACCCTGCGGTGACGGCCCCGCGCGTGCCACCTCAGCCCAGCCAGTAACGGCTGCGGCAGGCTGACAGTGGCAGTTATACCTGCCCTGTCGGAGGCTAGTGGACCTGATACAATGGATTTCTGTTATAAGGAGCTAGTATCAAGGAACGAAGGTATCATCTTCTACTCTCGCGCTATCTGCACTCTTAGCCTTTATCTTCTCCTTGCTTCTCCTACAAAATACTAACTTAAGCATCGGAGTGTTCCCGCCGGGCAAGCCCTCGGGGATTCTTCTTCTTCTCCATCTCAGGTACCTTCCAGGAGTCACGTAAGTGCCAGCTAGGAGTGACCGGATTGCGCACCATCAAAAGTTATTGAAGATAAATGAGTATGGGAAAGGGAAAACTGTAATTATTAAGATAAATTAGTATAATATTGGAAAAAGAAAATTATTGTTAGTTTATATTAGAAAATATAAGTTAAATTAGTGTAGTTTTGTAAGTAAACCATTTAAAAATGAAATAAATTATTTAATAACAATTTAAAAATAAAATTGAATAAATTTTCAAAATTACACAAAAGTAATAAATTTTTCAAAATTTTCATAAAATTACATTTTTGAAAATTAAAGACAATTTAGTGTACTTTTAGAAATTTACCATGTGGCTGATACTAAGTATATCATTTTGATCATTTTTGTCATCAAATTGAATATTGGGTTGACGGGGAGTGGGTGCCTTTCCTTGAACCCACCCAACATTGGGGACAAGGTAGGAAAATTCAATGATTCTTCATCCTTGATGAAGAGTGGGTACATTGCCTTGAATTCACCCGACAATGAGGACAAGGTGGGGAAATTTGAGGATTCTCTATCCCTAATGGGGAGTGGGTGCCTTGTTTTGAACCCGCTTGAAATTTGGGGACGAGGCAAGGAAATTCGATGATTATCTGTCCCTAATGGAGGAGTGGATGCCTTGCCTTGAACCTGCTTGAATAGGGTAGGAATGGGGTAAAGTGTCTTGACTATAGGGTAGGGACAGCGATGGAGTGTCCCACCCCGAACCTGCCTCGTTGCCATTCATATATAATTTTTAATTATTATCTATTAATAAATGTTAGCTTCTGTAATTATTTTTATTTATTTAAAATCAATCAAATTTTCATTTAAAAATAATGAAAATTATAATAGTTATTAAAATTACTATAAATGATTAATAAAATTAAATTTATTAAAAAATATTTCTTCATATTAAATTAATAATAATTATTTTTCGTAAATCAACATTAAATGAAAAATACAATTATTAAAATTTTAAATATTAACAATAACTTTGAATACTTTTAGTTAATTAACATGAAATTATGATTATTAATTTATCAATTAATTAATAATAAATAAAATAATTCAATCTTTGTGCATCGTACGTGTCCCCACTAGTTGTTTCCTTAGGCTCCGCTTGTTTGCAGTACAAATGCCAAATCAGGGTATTTATGTACTATGGTTCACATTTGTAAGCGTTTATTTGGCATGTAAAAAAGTAATGATTATTAAATAAAAAATATATTTTCTGACATTTTTGTACTCTGAAAAGAGAGCATTACTTTACCTATTTTTGGATACAATTTTGTATTATTTTGATAATCAACCTTTTAACCATAATTAAGGCATTAAAGCATAAGGTAGTTGGAGCATTTAATGATGGGGCCCATACTTAGCACTGATTTCAAACAAACAATAAGTACAAAAACGGTTTAAAATCTGAACTATGCTTGCTTTCATGACCCGAAAAAGGGGATAAATATGGAGTGTATATATTTACATTTGCATTGCAACCAAAGGCAGCCTAAGAAAATTCCATTCAGTTGGATGATCCCTTTAGTTTTTCCTTTAATACAAATATATTATATAAATATATAAATATATATAATTCAGGCATTTTAAGAGGGGATAGGAGTAAAAATATAAAATCAAAGAAGGGGCAGAATTGAAAATATAAAATCAACATTTTAAGAGGACATAGGATTGGAAATATAAAATCAGCGTATTAAGAGAGGATAGGATTGGAAATATATTATAAATATGAAATAAGGGAGGGGTAGAATTGGCAAGGAGGGGTAGAATTGAAAATGTAAAATCAGGGTGTTTAACGATGGACGTTGTTTTTATAAATGGGTAAGAAATAAATACATCACAAAGTACACGTTTTTTTTGTTCGACTATGAAACCGAAAAAACTTACAACCAAATCAATCGGCATGTTTTTGAACATGCCATTCAAAGTGGGGCCTATGTGCATCGGAGATTACAATCCGACGGAAATGAGGCACTCCTCATTTGAGGGGCCTTCGTTCCATGTGTTTGTCGAGCAGGAAAAACCTATATATATATATATATATATGCTCTGCGCATCAGTTGGTTCCCTCCCCGTGCGCTGTTTTCTTGTTTTCGTACTTCCTGGTTGAGTTCACTCGTTGAGCTTTCCAGAATAAACAGAAAACGAAAAGAAAAAGGGAAAGGGAGGATCAGAGAACAGAGAAGCAGACGGAGTTCATGGAGAGCTTTTCCGAAATGGTTCCACTTCCGCTGTTGATGACTCCAGTAGAATCGAATTATCGAGCTTGCACCATTCCTTACCGATTCCCATCCGATAATCCCCGAAAGGCAACATCGACTGAGCTGGATTGGATTGACCTTTTCTTGAGCTCTGTACCGTCTTTCAGGTCTTCATTCTCGATCCCTTTTCTGAGCTTTCCTGCAAGTAATTCAATTGCGTGAACTCCGTATATTCTTCTTCTTCTTTTTATAGAGAAAGTCAATTGCTGCAGTTTTAGGTGGAGACTCATAATTTAGTTTGTAGTTTTAAATGAATTTGATTTTACAGAGTGACATTGGTAGACAATTTAATTTTCTCCACTTGACTGGCCCGAGAAATCTTACATTTGGTCTTGGGTCGTTTTGACGGTTATTTATAAGTTTGTAGGTCTACTTGCGGTGTACGAGTTAGTCATTTTAAGCAATACTAGTTTCCGGGCTCTTATTTAGCTTTCGTCGGGGGATGGGTTTTCTAGCTGCTCTCCTTTTGTGATTCTAAATTCTATGCAGTTTAGTGCTTGTTTCCCATTTATATCTGCTAAAGTTCTAAGACGTTGACTTCCTGTTTAACTTGAACATCGTCTCTAATTTATTATAGGGAAAATATCGGAATGGAATATTTAAGATGATACTTTGTGCTTTTCTTTACTTTCAATCTGGGAAAATGGTTCCTTGGTTCGTGTCCATATCCTATTTCTTCGGACGGGAGAGCACTTCCTCACACATGTTTTAATGTCTTATGTCTCATAGCATGAATTGGATTTTTTTTCCCGGTGAATATAGTGGTTAAAGTTTCAAATCTTCAATTGGGAAAATTGCAGAAAACAAGACTTTCGTTTTTTTCCATGTGGTGTGGTGGTGATCTTTTTTCTTCGGGGATTGGGGGTGGGGATAGACATCAGGCTGAAATCTGATCTAGAAGAGGATGCAGAGGAACCATTTTAAGCTGCTAAGTGAAAAAAAAGCCCTGGTTGTGTACCCCTTATGTGACAACTCATCTAGCATGTCCATCCCTTCTTGGATTTTCATTTCTCTCATTTTTTCTTCCTTGTTTTAAATTTTAGGCATAAAGTTCTTCTGTTTCTTGACATTATATTTCTTTCAGAAGCTAGTGTATTTTTAACTACTTTTCTTCAATCACTTGTGAATCTGGGACATAATGAGTTGGTTGTTTCCTCTTGGTGCATTTTTTTTATCTATATCTCATTTTTAAGGTAAAGGAATTTTGATAATGGACTTGGATGGTAATATCCATTTGTATAACTATTGGGATGTTTCCAAGCATTTTTTTTTTTTATCAGGAAAGACTAAAGAAAATTTCATTAAGAAAATTAAATTGAGAAACAGTACAGAAACTGAGTACCCTCAGCTACCCCACTAGTTTTTAAACTTTGTCACCTATCAGCTTTTGATTTTCAGCCTTACAACTGAGCCCAAAAACAATGTTCCCTGTTAACCCCTTGTTTCGCTAGCTGATCTGCAAAACCATTTGCTACTCTTGAAGTCCACTGAATTGATAACTGCATGTCCTTGACTAGATGATTAAGCTTCTTGATTTCATTTCTGAACAACCAGGGAGTCTTTTCATTCTGCCTTTGCCAAATGCCAACTCATAATCACTTTGGAGTCGCCTTCCACAACCAGCTTTCTCACTCCTAATTCCATAGCTTTTTGTATCCCAAAAACTACTGCCTTTAGTTCAGCTGTAATGGAATCTCCCCTTCCAATAGGGCCCGAATACAGACCCACCACAATCCCCTTGTCATTTCTTATCACCCCTCCAATTCCAGACATACCCAGGTTACCAAAGCTGCTCCCATCAAAGTTTAATTTGAGGAAACCAGACTCAAGGGGGTCCCAGTTTCTTAAAACCTTCTTCTTTTCCGATGACAAGGATGCTACTGTCCTCCAATTTCTGAATATATCATCTGCAGTAAAATCTGAGAATAATCCCAAAGATTTTACCCACGAGGTCACTTTTATCATAATCTGTTCTATCAGCATTTCCTTGCACCTTTTCTTTTCTTCAAATTTCTCAGATTTCTCTCCTTGTATATGGATCATTTTTAGATAAGTGACAAAGTATAGAAAAGAAAGATGTTGTAACTCATCTGGTCTTTGGCAGCTCTATGGTAGCATGATTACCTAATGGTCCATAACAACTCAATAAATTAAATGCTTTGTAAATGGTAAATTTTATTGGATTGTGCATCTTTTTTATGAAAATAACACATATTAGTAATTATCTTTTGTATGATGCAGGCAACGTGCAGAAAGTGACATAACAGTTACTGATGCTCATAGTAGAGCTGAAAAGTTTGCTCAAAGGTATTTCTGTTTTACTAATACACCTGATCCATTTCCTTGATTTCTTTTATTTTATCTTTTTTTAGTTCCCTTCTTAACAATGATACTGTTCCAGAGTTGACATAATGCATTCCTACAAACATGCTCATTTCTGATTCTATCTTTTCTAGTTTTCCCACTTCCTTCTCAACATTTCTGGGTCATATGATCAGTTAACTCATCTCCTCGTATCCTTCCTAATCTTAGAAGAGGCAAAGTAAGTTCACTAGTTGGATCAAGTAGGGAGCTTCCCTAAGGAATCCACTTGATTGGCCATGTGGAAGGATCCTGTGGCCAATGACCCACTTGATTGGCCACATACTCAATCCCATGGCTCATATCAGCCATGTAATCCACCCTGTATTGGTGGTTTTCACAATTAATATCAGCCATTCAAAATTCTATTATTTAATATAAAACTTTACTATGAGGAGTTTTTCATCCTCTTTTTCATGTTTGTTTTTAATTGTATTTTCAATTTTCAGTTAAATATTTCACAAAAGAAAATTGCATTTTATATTGTGAATGTAACATTTTACTCAAGGCTGTTGAAACTTGAGAAAATCTGTTAGAGATTTTGTAATTTTTGTCTCTGTCAGGTGTCAAAAGACTTTGGTTGAAGTTCAAGTAAATGCTTTTAGCTTCATTTCCTTGATAATATTATCAAAAGTAGACTCATTACCACATCCCTGTATGGTTTCACCAACATCATGTGCACTCACAGTACAATAAAGCAATTATTTTCTTCTCTATTTTCCTTGTCAAGTAAATTTGCAGGAACTACTTTAATGTATTCTTTTCTGATTATATTGTTGATATGTTTATTTTGTGTTAAGGTACACAGAGATTCTTGAAGACTTAAAGAAGGATCCTGAAAGTCATGGAGGGCCCCCTGATTGCATTGTAAGGAATTTCATAATGAACCCTTATCTAGACCCCTTTGTGTTTATAGAGTTTCATGAAATGGTGTGCTCTTATATTTCTTTCATAGCTATGGACATTTTACAACAGAGGAGCTAAATTTGTATTTGCTTCTTGTACAATTTTAGCTTCTATGTAGGATCCGTGAGCAAGTCCTCAGAGAGTTAGGATTCAGAGATATATTCAAGAAAGTTAAGGTAATTGTCAACTTTAAGTTGTATCATGTAATTTTATAGCTTCTTGATGTGTACTCAAATTTACTCATTTTTTTATCATTGAAATGTACTAGGATGAAGAGAATGCAAAGGCTATCTTGCTATTTGAAGATGTAGTTTGTCTTAATGATTCCATTGAAGACGAAGGCCAACGTTTAGAGAATTTGGTTAGGGGCATATTTGCAGGGAACATATTTGATCTAGGTTCTGCAAAGGTAAGTAGTCTAATTTGTAACTCATGAATCATCGAATGAAAAAAAAATATTTTATTTGTTTTGTTTTTTCATTTTCTAATTTTTTTAACTCTTGGTTGTCAATAGAGAGTTACAAGAACGAAAATAATGAATTGATAAAGATTACTTCTTCCTCTTCTTGGAGCAATTTTGGTCAATACTGTTTGTATATTTTCTTATTCAGTAATACCTTTAACTTTCTTTAAACTTGCACTTTTATCAGTGGCTCAGATCCAATTGGAGAACATATCTCGGTCTTATTACAATTTCCTATCCTTATGCAATTGGATATATTTAAGAAAAACTTAAGAACTTATATTTGCATGTATTGATAATTCTTCAACAAAATTCCAATTACAATAATGAAGTATCAACCCTAGCTGGCAACATGTCTAGGCCATAAATAACACCATGAAGTCCTGTTTTAATGAACCAATATGTAATTTTTTTTCCATCGTCAACAAAATATACCTGCATTTATTGACAAGATAAGCCTTACTAACCAAAATGTTTGATAGCAAGGAAAGTTACTAGCAGCTTACAGTTGGTACGCCATGCAAATTTTTCTGTTTGCAATTTAACAAATGACTCTCAGGTCCTGGAATTCCCCAAAGAAGATTCTGCCTCATTATCCTTGTTTTGGCAGAATGCCAACCAAACAATTTGCAGTCCTTTGGACCCATCTGAATGAGCAGTTCAGACTTCTTCATATTGATTTTGCTTCTCTAGCAAAGAACGCAGAAAGTCCAATTAAAAAATATGCAAATTCTTATTTAGGAAATTCATGGAAGGCTGCTTCATGATCCTAAGCTTTCTAATAGATTTAAGCTTTATAGTTGATGATATCTAGCATTCATGCTTTCACTGAATGTCTTGTAGTTATATGCTTTTAACGTTCAAAGAACTTGCCTTCTGGTGGTACTTACTTTAAAATGTACCTTTTTTGCATTTTTGAAGCTAGCAGAGATATTTGCAAAGGATGGAATGTCCTTTTTGGCTAGTTGTCAGAATATTGTTCCTCGACCTTGGGTTATTGATGATTTGGACACTCTTAAGCTTAAATGGAGTAGAAAACCATGGAAAAAGGTATGCCCTATCTTCTTGAGTTTTGACCTGTTACTAGAGTTTACAAGTTGGTTGTATTACTGAAAAGAACTAAATATTTATTTTCTGATTTATTAACACTAACAAGATCATTTGGTGTATGTGACAGGCTGTAATTTTTGTTGACAATTCTGGTGCTGATATCATCTTGGGCATTTTGCCATTTGCAAGGGAGTTGCTTCGTCGTGGGACACAGGTTTGCTTTTAACCCATCAAGATTTCTACTGCAAATTTGATTGTCGAAGGATACAATATTGATTAGTGTTTGTACTTCTCAATTTTACTTGAATACAAGGTATTGGTATGAAAACTATTAGTCAGCTCTTTGATGTTTGTACTTTGTATTTTTGACTTTATGTTACTCTTCAGTTATTCCTTTCTTGCCACTCTACATGTAGTTTCCCGCTATTAATGTTTTTCATAACTTGTCCCATCTGCTTTAACAATGATTTTTCTTAGGCCTAACTGAATTACATTGGTATGTCCATGACTGCAGCCAGCCCTACACCCCCCTACTGTTGACCACCATCCTGCTGAAATAGGAGTACCTTGGTCGGATAGGATTATACATCCAACTGCACTGAAAGACTGATAATCAATGAAATCTCCATGGCCCATTTCTGGGATATATTTAAACTGACACACGCACACACACACACACAAGGATGGGTTACTCTGTTGATTGTGTAACTAAGACTCAGTTTGGAAGGAGTACAAATATGTAGAGTGCAAAGCCTTGTATTTTGTATTATTTTGTATGTATTTGTACCATACATAGTTGTATTTGTACTCTTTCCAAACTGAATGTAAGCTGAAATTGCTTAACTTTGTGACTAAAATGTTAGGCAGTATGTGAACTTTTTGAAAATGAGTTCTCATCTGGTAGTTATCCTCTAGAAGAATGTGAAAATGGCAAATTGAAGACATTAGCTGCTTTTTCATTGGCTACCTTAGGCTAGAGAGATATTACCACTGCAAACCTTATGTAATTGAAGTTTAAACCCAGTTTTCTTGCTCATTCTCATTAGTTAAATGTTTATCCCCGAGGATTGTACAACTCTCTGTTTAAGTAATAAAAAAAGATTTAGTTATGTCAATTTATTTTGGTTAACTTCATAATACAACCATCTTTATCATTAACTGAGTATAATTTTTTGTTAATATAATGCTTAGTTTGTTCTAGCAACTAATGACTAAAGATTTAGTTATGTCAATTTATTTTGGTTAACTTCATAATACAACCATCTTTATTCATTAATCGAGTATAGTTTTTTGTTAACGGATTAATGCTTAGGTTGTTCTAGCAGCGAATGACTTGCCTTCCATCAATGATGTAACCTATGCTGAACTGCTTGAGATTATTGCCAAGGTGATGAACATACTTATTTAAATTTCTAGTATGATGTTTATGTATTAATTATTATTCAACTGTTATATCTGAAGTGCATTGTTATCAGTTGAAGGATGAAAATGGACAGCTCGTGGGGGTTGACACATCTAATCTTTTGATTGCCAATTCTGGTAATGATTTGCCGGTAAGAAAATGTACCATTTACATTTCACACAAGTTCCAAAGTACTCCCAACACACTTATATTGTAGATTGGTATGACCTGTTGAACCCTTGAACCTGAGAAGCTTTCACCATATTATAAGTCCAGATTGGGCCACATTTCTTGGGCAAGTTAGACTAACCAAGCTGGTATTACTAACTTATTTTGGCCATTGGTTTGTTCAAGGTTTCAAGAAATGAAGATATTGGTCATAATGGTGAGAAACCTTGGTCATTGTTCTCCTAAAACAGTTATATTGGAAATTCCAATATTAGTTTACTTTTCAAAATTTTCCACCACTCCATGTTCTGACCCACTTTTGTGGAGAAAAACCCAAAAAGGAAGATTTCATTGAGGTCTGTGGTGGATGCAGAGGGATTGGAGCCTTGGGCCATTTGGGAGGGCGGGGGAAATGAAGGGGAGAGGGATGATAGGGAAAGAGTGGGGATGAAAAGGTTTGCAGATTTTATTAGAATAAATGGTTTAATTGATCCTCCTTTAAGTGGCAGCAGATGCACTTGGACAAATGGCCAATCTCCTATTCTGAGAAGATTGGATAGGTTCCTTTATTCAGGAGATTGGGAGGAGCACATGGGAGACCTGTGTCAAGAAGCTCTTCCTTTTTTCCTATCTGATCACAAACCGATCCTGCTTAGGCAAGTTGTGGAGTTTTCGGGTGCTAAACCTTTTAAGTTTGAGAACATGTGGTTAGATCATCCAAATTTTCTGGAGTGGGTGGAAGAAAAGTGGGATGGTTTGAAAATAGAAGGGGCAGTAGGTTTTAGGCTGATTAGAAAACTGCAGCTGTTGAAGGGGGAGATAAAGGGCTGGAGTGTGTCTGTTTTAGGGGAGGTAGGGAGAAGAAAAAAGGAGATTTTAGAGAAGATAGCTACTCTTGACAGATTAGAAGAGGAAGGAATGGCTACAAGAGAGGAGAAGTTGGGGAGGGACAGGTTAGATTCAAAATTGAGAAGATTAATATTTAGAGAGGAAGAGTCTTGGAGACAAAAGCCAAGATTGATATGGCTGAAAGCAGGAGACAAAAACACAGCCTTTTTTTCATGCATATACTAATGCAAGAAGAAGAGAATTTTATTTCAAAATTGGAAGTTGAGGGTGCAGTTTTATCCAAACTGGCAGAGATAGCCCATGCCTTTGTAAATCACTTCAAATCCATCTTCAAAAGGCCTTTAAATGGAAGGGTTTGGGTAGATGGACTGGATTGGCCGAATTTGGGAGAAGAGAGAAGGGAGTGGTTAGAGAGGAGTTTTGAATTGGAAGTAAAGGAAGCAGTTTTCTCAATGGACAGATCAAAAGCTCCAGGCCCTGATGGCTTTACAATGGCTTTCTACCAAGACTGTTGGGAAATTTTGAAATAGGATCTGATGTCAGTTTTTGATGAATTTCATAGAAGGGGGGTAATTAATCCGGGATTGAATTCCACATTTATTACTTTGGTCCCAAAGAAGAAAGAGGCTTCACACCCGAGGGATTTTAGGCCAATCAGCTTGATAAACAATTTGTATAAAATAATTGCAGAAGTTCTTTCTCTTAGGATTAAGAGAGTTCTCCCTTCTATTATTGCACCCAACCAAGGTGCGTTTGTGGAAGGAAGACAGATCACTGATCAAATCCTGATTGCAAATGAGAGTCTAGAGAGCTTTAGAAATCAAAGAAGAAGGGTGTAATTTGCAAACTAGATGTAGAGAAGGCCTATGACCTAGTGGATTAGTCTTTTTTTCTAGAGGTGTTGAGATGTTTTGGTTTTAGGAACAAATGGTGCAAATGGATTTGGGGCTGTGTTAGAAGCTGCCTTTATTCTATTTTGGTTAATGGAACTGTGGTTGACTTCTTCCCTATCTTGAGAGGGATAAGACAAGGTGACCCTCTCTCCCCTTTTTTGTTCACCCTGATTGCAGATGTCCTTGGAAGACTAATTCAAAGAGCTGATTCAAGAAACTTATTGAGAAGTTGGAGAGTAGGAAGGGAGGAAGTTCCATGCACCCACTTGCAATTTGTAGATGATACTATCATTTTTTATGAAGGTGGGGACATAAATTGAATTAGAAGTTTAAAATTGATAATACAACTCTTTGAGCAAATGTCTAATCTCAAAGTGAATTTTGATAAGAGTTGCACTGTGGGGGTAAACATGGAGGAGAGGGTGGTAAGAGAATGTGCAAGTTTGCTAGGTTGTGAAGTTTTGGATTGGCCTTTAACTTATTTAGGCCTCCCCTTAGGAGATAACCCCAAGAAAGAAAGCTTTTGGAACTTGGTGGTGGAAAGATTCGAAAAAAGACTTGCTTCTTGGAGGAAAAACTGTCTTTCTTTTTTTGGAGGGGGGGAGGAGGATAACTCTGATTAGGTTTACCCTAGCTAATTTACCTATTTATTTCTTGTTTGTGCTTAAGATCCCCACTAAGGTCTCCAATAGGTTGGAAAAGTTGATGAGGGACTTCTTGTGTGAGCCACACGATGAGAAAAGGGACCATAGAGTGGGTTGGGAAGTGGTGACTAAGAGTAAGAAGTTAGGAGGTCTTGGGCTAGGGGTGTCAGGAAAAGAAATATGGCTTTGTTGGGAAATTGGTTGTGGAGGTTTCCTTTGGAAAAGGATAAATTATGGACAAAGATTGTGGTTAGCATTCATGGTTTTGAGGACAATGGCTGGGATCTTGGAATTCTGGCAAGGTCTACAGGTGCATCTCCTTGGAGAGCCATCCATGACATCCTTCTAGCTTTCTCCCCTTATATTAGGTATGGCTTGAACTCAAGTAAGCTAATATAGTTTTAGGAACAAACTTGGGTTGGGGATTCCCCTCTAATGGAACAGTTCCCTTCTCTGTATGCTCTACCAAGCCTCAATAATGAACCTATCTCTTCTTTTCTTGTTCCATCAGACTTCTTCTTCTGGGTTTGGGTTGAACCTAGGATTGAGGAGGGCCATTAGGGATACAGATATGGATTCTTTGATAACTTTGTTATATACTCTTGAAAATGTTTTTTTGGATCCCTCTAAGGAAGACATTAGATTTTGGATCCCCTCTCCCTCGGGCACCTTCTCCTGTGCCTTGTTCCGATCAGCAGTCTATACAAATTGTTAGTGAAGATTTTATCAAAAAGATTGAGGAGTGTTCTCCATGAAATAGTGGGGGAGTCTTAGATGGCTTTCGTGGAAGGGAGACAAATTCTGGATGGAGTTCTAGTGGCAAGTGAGTGTGTAGATTCCAGATTAAGGAGTGGAACAGCTGGTTTGGTCTGTAAGATAGATATAGAGAAAGCCTATGACCATGTGGAATGGGGATTCCTGGAAGAGATTCAAAGATTGATGGGTTTCGGTGAGAGGTGCAGGAGCTGGATGTATGCTTGCATCTCCTCAATTTCATATTCAATTCTAATAAATGGCATTTCTGTGGAGTCCTTTCCAGCCTCTAGAGGCTTAAGACAGGGAGATCCACTATCCCCTATGCTTTTTGTGATTGTAATGGAAGTGCTGAATCTGTTATTGGAGAGAAGCGGGCAGTTGGGTCTAATTGAAGGCTTTAAGGTAGGAAGAGAAGGTCCTTGTATTTCTCATCTGCAATACATAGACGATACTTCAATTTTTTGGATGCATCAGCAGAGCAGATTTTAAATCTAAGAGCTGTTGTGGCGAATTTTGAGTTGATGACAGGGCTGAAAGTCAATCTCTCAAAGAGTGTGATAATTGGAGTAGGGGAAGTGGACAGGGAGTTATTACTAGAGTGCGCTGAGGCCTTTGAGTGCAGAATTGGGGTATTGCCTTTCACTTACCTAGGGATGCCAGTTGGGGGTGTTTCAGCTTCAGAAGTTTTATGGAAACCAATAGTGGACAGGGTGTAAAGGAGACTGGATGGTTGGAAAGCAAGATACTTATCTTTGGGAGGCCGGATAACTTTGATTAAAAGTGTATTATCAAGCTTACCAACATATTACTTATCTTTACTTAGGATTCCTTCTCAAGTGGCTGAAAGAATTAGGCCCTGTTTGGTTCATGGGAATAGGGGTCTGGAATCAGAAACAGAATGGGCTATTCCGATTCCAATTGTTTGGTTGAGCGGAATCGGAATCCCATTCCCATTCCTACTGGAATGGCATTCCCCCATTTGAGGGAATGGCCATTCCCTGCCCCTCCCTTGGGAATGAAATCCCATTCCTGCTGATTCTAATTCCCATTCCCATTCCTGTCTGAACCAAACAGACTATGGGAATAGGCCATTCTGATTCCGATTCCGTCTATGAACCAAACGGACCCTGAAAAAATTCAGAGGGATTTTTTGTGGGAAGGGGTGTGGGGAGGGTGGGGTGCAGAAGTTTCACTTGGTGAAATGGGGGAGAGTTTGTAAACCAAAGGACAAGGGTAGGCTGGGTTTTAGGAAATTGAAGGATTTTAATAAGGCTCTAGTAGGCAAGTGGTTATGGAGATTTGGTTTAAAAAAGCAGGAGAATGCATTATGGAGAAGAGTGGTGGTGGGTAAGTATGGGATAGTGAGGTTCAGGTGGGAACCCAAAAAGGTGAGAGCTTCTTACGGGGTGAGTGTCTGGAAGGGAATCATGACTTTTAACAAAGAGTTCAGAAGTCTAACTAGTTTTTCAGTTGGAGATGGTTCAAGGGTGAGGTTTTGGGAAGATGAGTGATGCGGGATAGGCAAATTATGTGATACGTGTCCAAGGTTGTATAGGCTGGCTGAGGCAGAAGTTTCTATAAAGGATTGCTATGAAAGAAGGGGGGATCAACTGATTTTGTGTCCAAAGTTTAGAAGGCCTCTACTACATAGAGAGGTGGAGGAATGTTTGCACCTTCTGGAGAAATTAGAGGAGATGAAGTTATCTTCACAAACAAGGGATGAACTGTGGTGGAAGGAGTGGTCAAATGGGAAGTTCTTTGTTAAATCCTTTTATATGGAAATTGTTAAGGGCGACTCAGATCAAACTCAGATAGGTGGTGTTTGGGGAAATCCAATCCCCCCAAGGATTGAGGCTTTTGCATGGCTTGTGGCTATGGACAGTATTTGACAGTGGATCACCTGAAGTCCAGAGGTTGTTGCATGACCAATATGTGCTTTCTCTACAAATAAAAGGAGGAAACTGTTACACATCTTTTTATTCATTGTAAGGTTGCTGGTTTCTTGTGGAGATTCTTCACGTCAATGTTTGGATTTCCAAATTCTCAACCAGGAAATGCCGTGGAATTTTTTTTTCTTCTTGGCCAAAGTTAAGAGGAAATAAAAAAGCAAGAATTCTTTGGAGCTGCTTACCTTTCACTATTTTATGGAACATCTGGAAAGAGGGAAATAGAAGAGTCTTTTGAAGACAAACATTGGAATATGGAAAAGATTGTGGCAGCTATCAGTAACTCGGTTGCAGATTGGATTCTGGTCTCTCCAGCTTTTAGTCAAGTCTCTAAAGATTTAAGTGACAGATTAGGGGATATTTTGAAATATCAAATTTGTAACTTGGATGGTTTGTAGTATGCTGTTCTGTTTAGCTTTTGTTCTGGTTGTATGAGGGTGATGCCTTATCACCTATGAGGATGTATCTTTTTCTTTTTTTAATGAAATTTCTTTTTTATCTTCAAAAAAAAATTCAATTTACAGATCTGACCTGACATGTTATGTTCCTAGGGGTCATTCTCACTCATATAAATACACACTTCATATCTTGCACTATATGCTTCTTGTGTGCATGAAGAAAAAATTAGGTGAGAGTGTGGGAGTGGGTTAGGTTGGATCTCTGGGTGTATTCTCAGTGCAAGGATTTTCTGTGAGGCCTTGTAAGAGATAGAGTTTGTGTATGAGGAAGCTACTCATCTTTGTATCTCCACATTTGTTTGTATGTATAGTGGATTATCTGCCCTGCCATCGCCTGTGGATGTAGGCCAAAGGCTGAACCACATAAATCTTGTGGTTGTTTTTCTTTCTTATTTTGTATGTTCTCAGTATCTCTGTATTTTTGTCTCTTGGTTGTCTGTAGAACTTGGAGCTTTTCTGGGGTTTAACTCCATAATCTGTGTTGCTTGGATTCACTTGGCAAACCTGCTTTTTGTGTACTGTGAAGCTGGCACCCTTGAGCGCTCTGTGATTGTACTGTTTTTGGCAACTGTGAATCTGCAGTGTGTTCTGTTATTTGCACAACTGCAAATCTGTTTCTTCAGCATTACATCCCTCAGGGATTCACATCTCTTAAGTGGGATTCACACAACACACTTATATGTTTATTATTTACTATATTGTTAACAGATGATAGGATAGCTTCCGTTAAAATGGGAACAACCATTAGTATTAAATTATATTTATGACATCCTAGATCAAAGCACAGTGTGATCTGTCAGTTGAATTATGTGGACTATGGTCAGACTGTCTTCTTATTTTAGATGTTAATATGAAGTTGGGGGCAGGCTAGATCTTAGGCCTTAGAATGTACAGCTCATTTAGCTGTGTTAAGAGATTGGTAAGTACTTTGGTCAATAATGCTATCTGCACTGCTGCTGTAAAGATAGCCCAATAAATGATAGACACATGGGAGGTCAAACTGGGTAAATCTAACCAAACAGTTCTTTATTGCTGCATTCTTTTCTTCATTTTTTTAAGTATCATCCAATATTTCTCTTCTCCGAATCTCCAGTCTGCAAATTGTAATGGCAACTGAGGGAAACCACTCTGCCTATGGTCTGCCTGCAAATAGCAATATTGTTTTGTTGGTCCCTCTTATTCTGCAACTTCACCATTATTTGTGATGAAACCCCCGTTTCTTGTGCATTGAAGTGTAGGTCGTGTGACACAATTATTGGGTGGTGAAACTAGATTTCACTTGGCAGTGAAACTTTGTCAAAATTCTATATTGTAAGACCTACTTGCATGAGGGGGAGTCCATTGGGTTGAGTTGTATTGGGGGTCTGCACTTCTGGGATAGGCTGTAGGAGACTTTGTGTACTTTGGATGGGTGAGTCAGTTTACTCAGGTGGTCACCCTTCAACTCTTGGCTATTAGTATTTAGTACATTTATATATGTTGTACCACCATGACCTCCTTACCTTCAAGAAAAAGTTTCTGAATTTATTTGGGTTTTCTGCTACTAAGGCAATTTTCTTTCTTACTTTCTACAGGTCATTGATCTTTCAAGAGTATCACAGGAACTTGCTTACCTGGCAAGTGATGCTGACCTAGTTATCTTGGAAGGGATGGTAAATTATCCAATCTCATATATATATATGTGTGTGTGTGTGTGTGTGTGTGTGTGTGTGTGTTTAAAGTATTTCATAATAATTCCACTAATGTTGAGTTTGTCTTACACTGCCGTCCTAAGCCTAGATAAAGGAGGGCTTTCAGAGGGGTTTGCAATTAGAATAAATTTTTGCCAAAGGGATCCTGAGTTGAGCTGAGCTGCAAAAGTGTTTTATGATGCAACTAATGGAAAAAAAAAACAAATTCTAATTATTATATTAATTATTTTCAAATAGCAAGAAAAGAAACAATGCAAACAGTATGACTGTATGAGCTGTACAGACTTTATACATCTCATACTGAATACAATACTTCACTTAACCTTTTCAAAAGAAAAAAAAAAAAAACAATGCAAACAAGAGAAAACTTTCACCAAATTCACAAAGCCTTAAGATATTTTGCAAAAAAACATAATAATTTATTTCTAATTAAGTTGGAAAAATCATATGCATTTTTCTCAGAACAATAAAAACACGTGCCAAATAGATCAGAGAATTTCAAACAGAGTTTTCTAATTACAATGCATAACTGGGATTTGTCATTTTACTCTATGCACTCCATCACTTGTATGAAGATGACCATTGGATTTGGATTGAACCTTTGGCCATGTCAGTTTGGACCTAGGTTGCTGATACAGATGAACAACTTGTTACTTTAGCTAATTCTGTCAGTTTTTAGTCCTAAGCCTTTAATATCTACAAAGCCTTTGCAGAAATCATAGAAAGATAAATGTATCCTAAGATCTCACACACACAAAAAGAACAAAGAAAAAAATAAAAAAAATGCCAAGGATATACTATTTATGTGTGTATTATACCCTATAAATTCTATATTGGCTCCATATTAGAAAATGTTAGCAAGTACAGGTATCCGTGTGTGCCAGGTATGGCATTGCCTAAAGCTGAAATGAACTGAATATTTGGTTCAGTGCCAATTGAAGTCTTTCAACATGCTGTAGTTCTAATACTTATTCTCCCTGCAGGGTCGTGGAATAGAGACAAACCTTTATGCCCAATTTAAATGTGATTCCCTCAAGATTGGCATGGTAATAGAACTACTCATACTTTATTATTGGTGCAAATTTATAATTTATCATTTACTTTCCCTTGTTCTCTTGGTTCGTTTTTTTCCTAATTTCTTATATTGTCTCTTTATTTCTTTTTTTTTTTTTTTCTATTTGAAGGTGAAACATCCAGAAGTTGCACAGTTCTTAGGAGGGAGGCTCTATGATTGTGTCTTCAAATACAACGAAGTTTTGAGTTGATTATTACTACTATTTTATCTTATAATTCCACCTGTAACTGTAAGCAAGCCCATTGTAGTACTATTATGTCAAACTTTGGTTTGAGGTTGGGGAGGAGGATTCCTCATCCATCTCTTTGACTGTAACTTTTTAAATGTGCTAGAGTATTGATGGGTTTTGGTAGTTAAATAAATGAAAACCTGAACAGTATTAATTTATACTAATGATCATGTAGCTGGTGAAGTCTCAGCTGTAACTGGTTGTGGAGATCTTTGATCGATTCCTGCCTTCACCCGAAGATTTGGGGGATTTAGGGGTGTGGGGGAAGGCTACCCCTCATCCATGGTTTTTAAAACCGACTCGGTGACCGAACCGGTCAGGGGTCCGGTTACCGGGTCAAATGGTCCGATGGTTCGAGCCGAATGCTCAGACTGTTCTGACAAAAAAAAATTCAAAAAAAATAAATAAGGTCAAAACTGTTCGAACGGTTAACCGCCCGGTTCAGTGGTTCGCTGACCAAAATCAACGGTTTTGGGGGGAAATCTAGTTTTTGGGGAAAACAGAACCAATCACCTGACTGGTTCCCGGTTTTTCTGGTCCGACCGTCCAGTCCGGTCCGATTTTCAAAACCATGCCCTCATCAGTCATCGCAAGCCCATTTGCCTGCGAAAGAAATAAAAAGTTAAAAAATAAAAAGAAGCATCTTTTGGGCTGTGTTTGGCTTGATGAAAACAAGAAGAGAGAAACAGAAAGTCGAGAGAATGTTCTTTAAAGGAATTTTACAATATTTGTTCAAGAACTTTGTTCCTACCTTTCGTTTCTCTCTTATTTTGATATTTTCTACCAAACCAAATGGCTGCTCCAAAGCAATTCAACGAAAGCAACTCGATCAAACATTCCCTCCTCCGGGGCTGTTTGATAAGTCGACATGGTAATTAGGTTGTGAGCTTTCAAATGGCAGAAAGGAATGTTATGTTGGATCGATTATTATATTCATTCATTAATGGGAGAAATATATTGTATGCAGTAGTCCGTGATGCCTTAGGCTAAAAATGTTTGGTCAGACTGTAGATCATTCTGGCGAGGGTGAATCGGTCCAATTTGGTCAGACTGGACTAATGTATCATGAGTTCCTGACAATTAAATCTGGTCCTGCATCCAAAAAGTAGTATAGACGTTTTTGTTTAAACCTTTATTGAAAAGTATTAGTAATATATGAGATTTTACATCACTTGAGAGCTATGTTAATCCACAATAGGTTCACAAGAAGTCAAAGTAGAAAGTACAACGCAGGTAGAGAGGTAGGTAATGTTGAAAGGTGAATAGCCATAACCAACCCATGGCGCTTAGCTTCATCAACCAAATCACTTCTTGGTAGGATAAGAAGCCATTTTGTTGATTCCACATAGCCCTGCAGATTTCCCTGTGTTCCTCTTCATCCTTATATATCCCTTTTCTCCCCATTTTGGTCCCCAAGAGTTCTTCACAATGATGTAATCCAATCCCTTGGATGTACCATATCCCACAGCTGCAACTCCATGATCTAGCTCAGTTCCACAGTGCCCATCGAAAACTCCCTGTAAAAGCAAGCATCAGCATCACTACTCCATCCTCAGTACCCAATTTCTTAATTTGTTTTCTGGTTTAACTTCAGATGTAAATGTAGTAATGAAAAAGAAGCCAAAACAAAGGGAAGTTGAAAAAGCATACCCCACTGTAAAATTGGAAATCTCTGCCAGAGGCCTCAATAGCAACGCTAAGAGGTTGGTGAGCAAGTGCTTTTAAGAGGCTTCCCTCATCATTCTCAGGCACATCTTCGTAACCACTAATGGTCACTACTTCCAAATCTTCCTGAAGAAAATAAAATAAATGTGTATGATAATAGTTCAACAGCATCTCAAAGTAGTATTCTGCTTTAATTTCTGTTTCGTAGCAAAGGCCAATGGGCCATATGGAACATGGCTGGACCAAGATATGGACTTCACTTGGCATTAACAGCTACAAGCTAACAAAGTCATAACTTGCCCAAGAATAATGATAAAAATCCTTTTTTTTTTTTCATTTTTTAAAAACTTGAGCTTGCCATATAGAACAACAGAGAGAATCATAGATCCCAGGCCTAGTGGCTCTAAACTCCAAAGCCCTGCTCATGTATAGTCCTTGATATGGATTTACCTTTTTCTCCTCGCATGTGCCTTCCTCCATGAGGTATGGGTAATCATCTTCCTTGTGAAGTCCACCATTAGAGACAATGAAAGAAAATGCGTAATCCATAAGACCGCCATTGCACCCATTGTTGTAGGGTTTGTCACAGTCAATGAGCTCTTGCTCCGACAAGGAAGTCAGATTTCCTGTCACTATCTGGTTTATGCCCTCAACTGCAGCTACCGTGGAAAATGCCCAACAGCTACCTGCATAGTTGCATATACCCCACTTGAATTATATTGGCACAGAGAAGAGAGAGAGAGAGAGAGAGAGAGAGAGAGAGGTTTGTGTAATGTACTTACCACATGCACCTTGGTTCTTGACATCAGTAACAGCACCCCTTTTTCTCCAGTCCACATACTTGGGCAAATCAACAACATCTCTATAGCTGAAGTCTTTGGAGGATTCTGTCCTGGGCAACTCGGCCTTCAAACCAAGATACATCTTCTTGAACTCTTCGTGGCTCAGGTCTGCAAATTCGTTGAGTCCAAGCCAATAGCTGCTAACTTTCTTATTTGTATCATCTATGTGCTTCAAGTTATCCTTGAAGACTTCAAATTTGTGCAGCTTCTCTTCAATGTTCTCGTAGCTTTTTCCATGTTTCGCCATCCAGGACTCAAATAGATCAATGAGTTTATTGATGGACGTTAGATCATCAGGCGAATAGCCCACGATGGAAAAATCCCGATCACCAGCAAGAACAGAGTTAGCACAGGCAAGGAAAGAAAAGGACGAGAGAAGAAGGAAGAGCTTAAGGAGTGAGGGAAGAGCCATCTTTTTTTGGGATTCAAACTGATTTAGTTTACAGAGGAAATTACAGAAGGGTATGACATAGAGGGAGGAATGGGTGGTCTTTTTATAGGTATTGTTTGGTAATGCATTGATGTTGCTTTCAAGTAAGGTCGTTGAACTTTCTTTTTACTCTCTACTACCGAGAATACCCAGTCTTTATCTTTAAGCATAGTCCTCTGAAAGAGGCTTTAATTCCAAGCGAGCTTCCTTCCTCCATCTTTTGTTTATTTTATATTAATTGCTGAAACGTAACCTGGACTTCTGGAGGCAAAATGTAGACGAGGAATTGAGGAAATACCCCCCAGACCAGAAGTCCATGGTGACGGGCGTGACGCCCAAGCCCAATATGGATCCAACCTCCAACTGAATGTGAAGTATATCCATTATCCAACGTAAGTCTAGTCCATGCACCAAAACCTTATTAATTATTATCGGGTCTTTTTGGTGATTGACAAGGGTAGGAGTGCAAGTCAGGTGGACTGGGCCGGGTTTAAGCTTAACCCAAGCCCAATCTTAAGAATTGGTTATAAGGCCCGAGTCTGAGGTCAAGTCTGTACTTTTCAATCCAGACTGAGCTTGAACTGAAATTTGATACATTCGGGTTGAGTTCAGGTTGATCAATCAGCTCACATTAAAATTTAATATAAAGGCTTTTATATATACATAAATGTATGTATATATGCATATATGTATGGTTTATAAAAAAAATATGCATTTATGTATGTACATAGGTAGGATGGGCTTGGGTTAAGATAAGGTAGAATCAGGCTCAGACTGGGTTCAAGTTATCTAAGGGTTAGACTCGGACCCACCTCAAAAATAAAAAAGCCTGAACTTTTGAGTCCAGGTCCAGTCCAAACTCCTAAAATCCAAGCTCAATCTATGTAAAATTGCACCCTTGGACAGGGGGAACGCAGGGCATAGAATGAGTCAGTAAAACGCGTGCAGACCTGCAGAGGGTTTGCCTAGCCCATATAACGGATGGTTTGGCCACCTGGGCCACTTTATCACCTGACTTTGCTGAGAGGAGACTCATTATAAGAGCCCTAAAACAATAGGGATCTCTGACAAAAAATTAGAAAATAAAAACAATAGCCATCAGAGTCCCAGATGGGGAACCATGAAGAGATAGACCCACTCCAGATGATCCATCAGATTTGGATTGAACTCGGATCAGATTCTGATATTGGCTATCATTGATTTAATTAAACTAATAAAAAATTATCATAATGTTGTATATCATGAATAAAATGACTTAAAATTAACTTGTGAAAGACTTTTTTTTGGTGAACTGAGAATTTATTCCACAATGAAAACGACTGAAGCCCAACATGGCCCCAATTGTCCATAATGCGGAGTAAAAGTATGATAGCATACACAAAGGGCATTGAGGAAAGGGTCACTGGGTCAGTACTATGAAAAGCAAGGTTTTAAAAACTGGGTCGGACATGGAACCATTTTGGCTACTGGTTCCTGGGTCAAACAGTTTGACTGTTCGGTTCGAACAAACAGTCAGTTCTGATTAAAAATAAAAAAATAAAAAATAAAAAATCAACCAAAAACCATTGTCTGGGTTGATTGTTCGATGGTTCGACCGCCTGAGTCAGTGAATCGCCGACTAAATCAATGATTTTTAGTTTTAGGGTGAAACAGAACCGATTGTCTGACCGTTACCGAATCAATCTGTCCGATCATCTGATCCGGTCTGGTTTTCAAAACCATGATGAAAAGGGGGATGCAATGGATCAGTTCCAATCTCCATTGAGTAAAGGGCTAATGGCGTGGTCCACCTGATTTCGATCACGAGGAATAAAACGAAACGAGCAATGCCTCATGAAGGTCCAGTGTCGATCAATGTCCTCCAGAATAGGCAACAGTGGATGTAAGTCTTAATGACTAAAGCGATGATCACTTGGGCCGTTGGGCGTCAGATCTTATCTCCACCTGTTGGATCCTCATTCTTCTAGCTTCATCAGAACCCATCCGGATTGCTCGTGGCTCCGCCCCCGCCACAAAAGCACAATGCTCCACCTTCCCTTTTGCCATCGTAAATTCACCTCTGTGAAATATTATCACACTCACATAAGCTACGACTCCTGATTTGCAGTAGACGTCATAGCTCTAAGGTTTCGAATTCTGTGAATTATTATCAAACTTTAAAGTAAAGATAGGTTCTAGCATGAAAACAGTATGATACCATCTTTCTTTCTTTTTTTTTTTTTTTTTTTGAATCTTCACTTATCCCAGTCTAACAAATTTTAACTTCATAACAACGAGGAATTAATGCCAATACGAGAGGATATAGCATCAAAGGTTCAAAGTGGGGTTGAATTGTTGTGGGTGTAGGATGGAATTAAAATTTGTGAGGTGGCTTTCAGTGAGGTTTACCCTTTTTATCTGACAATTTACAGACATCTACCTACACAGAATTACTAATATTTTAATTTTTAAAATCACCCAAATCAAAGTATTTAACATAATCTTGATTCCTGAAAACCAATACATACGCAATACTCTACACCTTGCATAGCTCACTTCTCACATCACAAAGTAACATTAGGCCTATTCTCCTGGTCCCCCTCCCCAAGTCCCAACCAATCTCAGGAGCCTACAACTCCAAAACCTCCTGGAACATGCCTCGGGCATGCTCCACAATGTTAGTGCTTTACTGAATCAGCCACGGGGTCCAGGGAAAAGTATTATTCTTTAAGCTTCATTTGGAAGGAGTATAAATACAAATATGTAGAGCGCAGAACCTTATATTGTATATTATTTTGTATGGATTTGTACTGTATATATTTGTATTTGTACTCCTTCAAAACTAAGCCTTAGGAAACACGCAACTCTAAAACTAACTATACAAATAGATACACATTAATTTTACCTAGATTGGTAGATATAAACATATATTCTTAAATATTATCAGATTGGATCTGATTGTTGTGGATCATATTTGATCCTAGACAGTATGTATGATGTGGGAATTGTATGATATTAGGGAATAACTTTGACCAATCAAACCTCCCTCACCCCCAGTAGATTTGATAAAAACCAAACTGATTGGTACCAATTTTATGATACCGGTTGATTGGTTGTAAGTATTTTGGTTATCACGCCTTTCTGATATCATATCGGACTCTTGATCCAATAAACGATCAAATTCTGATCACATTTATTCAATTTGGACTCAAAGTCAGACAAACAGATGCCAATTGCAGCCTAAGATGTCTCTCTTAAATTCCTTTTTCTCATATGGATTTTCAACACACCACACTCAATAATGTCCGATTCTCATCGTATTTTATGAATAGAATCAAGGTTCAAAGTATCGCATATCGGTACTTTGAACCATGCGGAAATAACTTTTTTTTTCAAAATTTGTTTTTTTGGGTAGTTTAATACCCATATTTTTCATTAAAAAGCAGTGGATCCCCAGGTGTATCTCGAGACCCAAAAGATACAATACGGAGCATATCGTATCGATATTTTGAATCTCGAATGTAGGTCTAGTTTAAGAATTAATGTACGAGTCCAGTCAGAAGTACCCATTGTCCATAATAATTTAAGTGATTTAGTTCAGCAATTATAAGTTGCTTCATATTGGATTAGAATACCTAAACAGGCAGATTTTATCATCCTTGAATTACTTTTAATAAAAATTGCACCAATGACCATGTAAACAGGCACCTCAAATGGTTATGATGAGAAAACCAATGGAAAGAGAAAAAAAAAAAGACTAAGAAAAATACAGGTATAATGTAAAAACTTTGAATACAGATAGCAAAAGATTGACTTGGGCAGAAAAAAAGTGGTGATAACACTATCTTTGCAGCTTCCCAATAGAGTGCAGATATACTGACACAGATGCAACCCTGAAGCATAATATCTAGTTAGTTAGCTTTGACTAAGAACTCTGGAGAACAAAATAGAACTCATAAAATGGCATCAACTAAATAACTTGCCCTCCATGTCTGTCATGTGTGCAATAAATGCACAGAGAATATGATTAGTTATGGTAGTCCTAAAGTGGGATGATTATATCCATCCAAACAATATAGTGGAAAGTTAAAGAACACAAAATCAGATTGATTTTGGACCAATTCAGGGCTCCTCAAGCGGTGTGGGTCTGGTCAAGCCCCCACGTGAAATGCATAGTAACCGCCGGGAATAATGAACTCCCTAAGCTGAATCAGTAATTACACTAAAACAGGCATTATATAGAACTACAGGAACTTACGTTGAGCCAAGGAAGAAGGCAAGGGAAAGATGAAACCCAAAAAGAAAGACGGATACGACAGCGGTGAAAAGCATAGCCACCGAAGTAGAATAGACCTGTAAAGAATGGTATAAAAATGAATTTCATCACCAAAAATTAATTTAGGTTTACAGAATCTCTTTGTACAGAGGACCATGCATATATTTTGTGTTTCTTATTAATACAATATATGCTATCTTTTTCTTTTTAAAAAAAAAGGAGACACTGGCAATATGGTAATATGGTATACCATGGAGCTTCATGGTTCCTAATCTGAACTACATCCTAGTTTTTTTTTTTTAATTCATAAATCAACAAGACCAGAAATAATTTTGTTGATTCTCATGAAAGTGAACAAAATGAATACAAGCCCTTGCACTCTTTAAGGAGGAAGGGTACCACATTCCAAAGACTGAAACACCAACCACCTTTACAGACCATATAATGCTACCATAGACTGTCCACTGATACTAGCTAATCTTGGTATCCACCTGAACGAGTTCAACCTGGTAGCCAAAAGACTTGCTTCCTCCAAGAGGTGTCTAATGACTCATGGATCTTCTGATTGAGAACCTATCCAGCTAGTAATAATTTGAGAACCCCTTCAAAAAAAAAAAAAAAAAGAAAAAAAAACTGTTCATTGCAACCCCCACCTTCAAGCCCTTCAATAATACTGTTATTTCTTTTTTTTTGATAAATCATAATACTGTTATTTCTTCTCTAGTAAGAGTCCCCAAATGATCAATAAGTAGGAGAAGACTTTGAGAATTCAACATTGACATTCCTGGATGCATCCCCTATACCTGATTGCCTAGGGATTACACAGAGCAGCCATCTAAGAATATAGATTCCATCCAATATGCACATCAACATGTTAAATAGTCATGTGCAATCTCCAAAATGAAGACCACAAATCCATAGGTTTGGTGACGACCTACATATTTTAGATTCTTTAACAAGGTCCAAACACCATAACTTCCTGAATAAATAATGTAAAAAACATCAGGATGAATTGATAAAAAGGATTCAACTTGTTTCCTTCTGGAAAATGAAAGTTTGAATTGATACAGCTTATAGAAGCTATGTTTTTTCCAATGAAACAAGAACAATTATTGACAAGATTTTGATACCATCAAGCATTTGGCAGTATTTAAAATTCCGCTTTCATTCAGGGTTTCAATATGTATAAGAGTATTAACTTCCTTAATCAAGAAAAGAAAGGGAAAGTAGCTCATGCCTCTCCTTGGGGTATCAAGGGGTGGGCAGAACAGCTAATGCCATAGCGGGATGGATTAGCTAAGCAAGGGGTATCAAGGGAACTTCTATTCTGGGCAGCTCTATAATCTTTTTTTTTTTCCAAGCCTAATGTAAACTTTGTTGTTGTTGAGGAGAGGAACTAGCTCATGCCTCTCCTCGGGCAGTCTGTTTTGTAACATCACTTTATTATCTTTGAATAAATTACCATTCATTTATCAAAAAATAAAAAATAAAGGGGAAGTAGATACAATGTCAATACCTGCTAACCTGTCTAAGTATAATAAAATAACAACCTGAGTTACTGATGCAAATATCCTATCCTGATGTTGGCATTGGAAATTATATGAACAGAGCAACTCTACAGTATAGAAAACAGAGCAATTCGAAAACTAGACTTGGTTATGCAAATATCCTATCCTGATGTTGGCATTGGAAATTATATGAACAGAGCAAATTCTACAGGATACAATTTTTTTTATGAACAGAGCAACTCTACAGTATAGAAAACAGAGCAATTCGAAAACTAGATTTGGTTCCATCTGGTCAACTTGGACCTCGTTTAGTTTCAGCAGTGTTCCAGCTCATGTCTCATTGCATTTTAGACTATCTATTTTTCTATTCAATTGATGAATGACCAAATGCAACCATTGTCTTACCTTCACAATATTATCTGCATATTTCAGTACCATTGATACAGCAATACCACTGCAAAACAATCCTGTGTAAATAATCATGCAAAATATTCAACTCAGGAAAAGATGTGGAGCAAGCAAATAAGCTTCTAGAATAAAAATACCTCAATGCATGATTGATAATCATGCAAGTTGTAATTAATGAGTACCCATGGAAGAATCCCCTAAGCACAAGAAAATGCAAACTCATAAGAAAGAGAAGGTGGAACAAGGAATAAACTGTTTTAGCTAATGAAAGTATTCCAAGTACTATTAAAGAAATAACTGTACTTCAAAAAATACTAAACAAAACAAGTTTATTTCCAAGGGGAAGTTTCATCTATCAACTTAAGCACACACACACACACACACACATATACATGCATATATACCACAATATGTGTGTATGTAGAGAGAAAGAAAGAATTTGGTGAATATATAAGCAAACATATCATAATATAAGAGATCACTGAGACTATCCTAAATTATTTTAAGATGCTGTATACAAAAGAAAAGCAAAGAAGGCCTTTTCTTAGCAGTTGGGGTGGCCCTATCTTGTCAGAAGAGAAGAAAGTGTGGTTGGAAAGAGATTTTCAGGAGGAAATTTGTTAACAGTACTTATACTTAGAGCCGCAGGAGATTTTTTTGTCTTTGTACACATTTTATTTTATTTGTTGGGACACCCTAATATAAATAGTAGAGCCGGAACGCCCTGTTTAGTGACTGCATGTTACCAATGTTATTCTATTGGCAAGTCCTTGTTGCAATTGTACATCTCCTCATGTACCATGTGCCTTGCTTTTAATGAAATTGTTATTTTTCTTCAAAAAAAAAGAGTTGCTCAAAAAAGCCTTTGTGGCACATCCATACATTTAGTGTGTTTGGCACTGATGCACTTCACTAGTGTTCCGTTATACCAGCTTGCCACATCAGAAAAATGCTATTTAATCACATTTTTTTTATCAATAACTTTGAAAGAATTTCATTAAATTAGAAAACTTTAGGATACAACAAGAAGTTGTGAAAGAAATCAGCTTAATAAGCTGACCCAGGACAGAATTACAAATGTGCCCAAAACATGTGTTCTTTGAACCCCTTGCTTTGCTAAGCTATCTGCCAAACTGTTGGCAGATCTCCTAACCCATCCCACCTGAATTGACATGTTCCTTGACACCCATTTAAATCTTGGGAAATCATTCTTCAACTGCCATGTCACCCCTTCCCCTTTCTGCAACCATTTTATCACAGTTTTTGAGTCCCCCTCGATGATCAGTCTATTAATACCCAACTCTTTAGCCTTCTCAACCCCATATGCTGCAGCTAGAAACTCTGCCCTTGCCACATCACCCTCCTCCACAGCACCGGAGTACAGAGCAATAATGAGACCATTTTCATCTCTAATGCCCCCCCCAATGCCTGACGGACCTGGGTTACCCACACTACTCCCATCAAAGTTCAGCTACTTCCAACCTTCTGTTGGAGGAGACCAAGCCTCAAAAAACTGTTGTCTCGTATATGATGAGGCAGCAATAAGTCCCCAAACCCCGAAATGCTATTTAATCACATTTGACAAGCCATTTTTTAAACATTGCAGCAATGACTAGTCTTGGGATTTGTGAGAGGAGTTTCTTGAATCATCAAATTGATGTTTCTTGAATCACCTTGGTAATCTTGAATCACCAGTGATGTGACACATTGAAATTTGAAAAATCTGACAGCTTTTCTGAGATATCAAACAGTTGTTATAATGAAATTATTATAAAAACAAAGTCAAATCACTTTAGACACACAATTAGCATGCATCTCCACCAAACAAGTCATTTATGTGTTTATTAAAAAAAAAACAGGGGATAGCGTTGCTGATTCTTGGTGAAACGGAACACTTGTGAAATGTATTGGCACCAAACACACTTGATTTCTAGAAGAGATGGGAGATGGAAAATATGTGTGGATAAGTGGCCCTTCTGAACTGTTAAAGATGGATTTTTATGCTCCTACCTGTAGTTACCATTGGGTGTATAGGTTATTGTGACCTTTAATTTTGACTTGACAGCCTATCAATATTGTGGCCTTCAATTTTGACTTGATAGCCATTAAACTTCCGCAAGTATTGAAGACAAACAAGCATCTTGAAGACTTGTTAGATTCCTTTTCTTTTTCCTATTTTCTTTTTCTTTTCAAAGTAAGAGTGTATTATAAAACAAGGGGAAAGACCCCAAAAATTACAATATAAACCCCTTCAAGAAAAACAGGCTGGAAGTATAAGCTATTCACAACATATAAAGGAAGCTCGAAAATGTAAAATCAACTGCCAATAATTTGGCTCCACTGTGAGCAGAACTGCTGAAATGAAAGGCCTTCGAACTCCTTTTTAATATAAGACCATTTAACTAGGATACTCTCCATTTTGCATATCACTGCTTCAACTGGCAATGCTGAACCTCTGAAGATACGACCATTTCTCTCCCCCCACAGCACCCAGCAGATTACTAAGGGGGAGGAGTACCACAAAAACTTGGCCTTTTTACTGAGATCAATTTGAAGCCAAATGGAGAACAAAGTTCAGATATCCAGAGGGACCCAGACATTGCCAAATAGGCAGATGGAGTGAATCCACACAGAGAAGGAGAATGGGCAATGTGAAGCAAAAGGTGACTGACTGATTCCCAGCCATTGTTAAAAAGAGAGAAACAGTTCACCAACACCATACCTCTGGCCATAAGTAATCTATGGTCTGAATCCTGTTAAGAATTGCAGCCCAAAAGAACACAAACTTGGAGGGGGCACCTGAGTCCAAAATCCATTTCCAAGGAACCTTGTATAGATTATATGCCAACAGTAGAAAGCATAGTTTTCAAGGCGCCAGGGCAAACCTGGGCAACAGTGGAGCGCTTAGTCACCTGGTCGTCTAGGCATCGCTTAATGTATCAAAAAAGAACAAAACAAAAGGGTTAGCCCTATTTTTGCCATTGAAATAGAAGTAAAAGAAGGGCAGAGCCCTTGTTCTTGTCTTAGAAGAAAGAAAACATGAAAGAAAAATCTCAAAAACGATGGAGAAGAAGGGGCAGAGCCCCTGTTATAGTTCCAGAAAAGGATGAAGAAGAATTTTTCTTCCAAAGAAAGAACAAGAAGGGGGGCAGCCCCTGCTTTTGTTCAGAAAAAGAAAAAGAAGGGGACGGAGCTCCTGTTTTTGTTCCAGAAGAAGAAGGATAGCATACCTTCTGCAATTGGTTGATTTCCCTTGCTTCTTCAAAGACATAGAACGCATATCACTTGGAACCCTGACAAGGATATGTGTCGAACTCGTTTCTTCTTCAGGATATTTGAATATCTATCTATCAGAAACCCTAACAAAATAAGAAACTGATAAAAAAAATTATTATCTTATGAAAAAACTAAAAATAATGATTTGGTGTACTTTGAAGAGGTTATATATATAAATATATGGTGCTTGGGTGAGGTGATGCCCAAAAAGCGCCTACACGCCTAGGCGACGACATCCCTTTGACAACTATGGTTGAAGGGAGAATCCACTGCTTCAGAATTTTACTTGAATTTCAAAGGAGGATTTCTAAAGGCTTAGACATAATAAGCGACATCAAGCTCCTAACTTGATAAGTTCTAGCTTTCAGAAGTTGGGGGAATTATTTAGGTGAGCAAATAGGTCTAAGGTAATGTATCTGTGAAGACAAATCAAGAAGTATTTCAGTGAGACCCAAGGTCAATAAGCTTAAACCCATTTTATTAGACCAAACTCAAACAGAATTCAAGTTAGATTCTCCTTTGAGAGAAATCAATAAGATTTATTTGCTACCTCACACCCACCGCCAGGGAAGGGGAGCAGGTAAATAGAATAAGTCAGTTACATACTTCAATGTCAAGTAGAAAAAAGATGATAGCAATTTTGTCACTATTATTGAGCCCACACTTGACCATTTGGTTGCATCTTAATGTCATTATAGAGGTAGCTCAATGACCTATATGAAAGCCCTAGACAATATGATTTTGGACAATAACTGCATGGCAAGTAACCAATTTACACACACATGCATGGAGGGGGATTATTTTAGAGTCTGACATCTTTTTATTTGAACTTGAATCCCTACCTAACGTAGGGCTGGGAAAGAGGGTAGAACATGTAGAAAGGATATCCTATGAGTTTTTAATGGAAAGGTAGAATTCCATTTTAAGCTTTTGCTTGTTTTTAAGATCCCAAGCCTGGAGGTGTGAGTGCGATGCCTTTAGATCTAGGTATTGATGCCTAGAGCAGCCTAGTGGTGATAATTCACACAGTTTGTCCTTCTCTACTTTATCTTGTTTTCTTTAATAACCCATATTCTCTTCTCCATGTCATTTTGAATTTCTGTATGCATTAAACATGGTTCAAATGGCCCATCTTCTAACTCACTTCTCAGCCCATACAACCCCCTGAAACCTTTAATTGATGCCTCTTACACAATACCCAACATATAACACTATTTCTTACAACTAGCAGTTCATGATACCATGTTTACCTTGTAGTTGAACCTCTTTGTGCACCAATTAGTTTGCTATTTTATCAATTCCAGTCCTCAAGCCTAGTTTTAACAGTATATGAGCTCCCCTTAAATTTCAATTAATAGCTATTAATCTAACCCTAGAGCAGTCCTAACTTGCATAGCAATCTGACAGCAATAGAACCTGTTGATATGTTGTCTATCATAAAGAATCCATGAAGTATAAGAAAACCGGTGCATCTCAGATATTAAAAGCAAGGGGAAATGTTAAGGATGCAAATCAGGCACCTGATTTGAACAATTTACCCATCTTCTAACTCACTTCTCAGCCCATACAACCCCCTGAAACCTTTAATTGATGCCTCTTACACAATACCCAACATATAACACTATTTCTTACAACTAGCAGTTCATGATACCATGTTTACCYTGTAGTTGAACCTCTTTGTGCACCAATTAGTTTGCTATTTTATCAATTCCAGTCCTCAAGCCTAGTTTTAACAGTATATGAGCTCCCCTTAAATTTCAATTAATAGCTATTAATCTAACCCTAGAGCAGTCCTAACTTGCATGGCAATCTGACAGCAATAGAACCTGTTGATATGTTGTCTATCATAAAGAATCCATGAARTATAAGAAAACCGGTGCATCTCAGATATTAAAAGCAAGGGGAAATGTTAAGGATGCAAATCAGGCACCTAATTTGAACAATTTACACTGCATCGGGCTTAGGCCCTTGGGCCAGGCCCATTCAAATTTTAACAAATTCTCAATCCAAACCTACCCAAGTTGTACCCTAAGAAACAGGAAGCCTTTCATGTTTACAATTTATGGTATACCTGGTGCCAATCTGAATGTTTACTTGAATTCAAGAATTTGTTATCTGGCACATCCATTTTTGACATCACAAGGAGATGTATTCTCCAACTTACTTGTTCATGACTGCATCAAAATCTTGAACTAATATTGCAATAGCATTGAACAACATCCCAAAGATATATAACCAGAAGTTCTGCACGTTGACATTTCTTGACAAACGCTTTTTCATTATAGCCTGTAATGCCAAAATTTAACTAATTAGTAAAAAACAAATAGTCAAGCAAGTGTTAATCACTATCAAAAATCTAAGACAGTATGTGACTTTTCTTAATCAAATTTATCACAGTTGATATTTTCTACTGCAACTTAAGAGAAATACTTGCAGTGCAGTGATGTCAGGATGTGATACTTCTCCCATTTTAAGTTCTTACGGATCACAAAAAGACTACATTTACACCTAACCCAATCCCATGCCACAAAAGATCATCATTTGTTAAAATACCTCTGTGTACACTCCTGCAAGGCCACTTAGAAGTGCCATTACCTGAAAAAACCAAGAACTTTGAGCAACTGTTATAATTATAAGAATCAGCTTAAAGGAGATCTTTTTATCTTACTTCAAGCTTATAGAAAATCAAACATATCAACAACTCACAATGGCCATCATCCAACCTTGAAAAGGAGTTTGAAGAACACGATCAGAACTGCACAAGCAATGTTATCTTATAAGGCACAGGTAACCAAAACAGAAAATGTTATTGGAGATTGGTGAAACATTTAGGTCATTTGTTATTCAAGTTTTCTCTTCCTATATTAAATTGTTCATTCATTTCATCGTTTGAATGAGCTTAAGTATATTACTACTCTAGTTCTATTCAACTCAATTTGTTACATGAACCTGTTTGGACATTTAACTCTATCAAAGGCAATTTTCATTGTTAAAAAGAAAATGTTTTGAAGTTCACCAATCAAAAATAAGAAAAGGTTTAAAAGTCAAGCTGTGGAGTGATACATGCCATAACCAGAAGCCAAGATATTGCTCCAGACTGATCTTGGGGATCAACTAATACATTTGACACAAGAAAGTTTAAGTATTGCAGACACCAATGAAGCTTAAACCAAATTTATGTAACACTTACGAAGAATCAAGTTGTGCTGTGGTGCATCCAGCACATAACAGAATAAAAGCTGCCCACTGAATCTCACTTAACCTGAAAAGAAATAATAAGCCATGGAAAGTAAATTGAATTAGTTTTTTTGTTTAAATTTTCTTTATATAATCTGGTTGTTATTTATTGTGTTCAACCAAAGTATCCAAATATGAATAATAGACAAAACTTTGTTTGATTACTCAGACACAGTAACTAGCAATGAAGTTATGCTAACAGCCCCTACTCCTATATCTTGCCTTCAGCTCTAGTCAAGTTAATTTCAGTTTCAGATATTCTTATTTGTTTTCTGAGTTACTATTTTTTCCCTTCAAGACCACATCTAAGCAAATTATTATCAAACTTTCAGCAGTCATTCACACTTCATACTCAACTAAGTTCTATTTGTTAATCTTCTCCATGTTGTTCATAAATGACTTTTATTTTGCAACATTCTGATAAATTGTCAAAATATTTATTTTGTTTTGATTTAAGAATCACATATATTGCCCTGTCATATTATCATGACCCAGAACAACTCTGATTCTCTCTTACTTGACCAATAACAATGAATTGAATGATGCTAAAAATAGAAAATGAAAAATAATTAAAAGAAGGAAAAACTCATAGTACTCAGATTCCAGAATGCAATGAAAAACATCCATCATAAAATCAGATGGACTAACACTCTTACTTTTTCTTTAGAATAATACGGTATAACACACCAGTGCTGATGATATTCAAGTTCTTCAGTATCTGGTATCCTGGAGCATTCACATATGCAAAGATGTAATACTGCAATAAAATTCAAAATCTTTTAGTTCATAAAAATTGAAACTATAACAATCCAAAATAATAGACGGATACCATGACCTACCGAAAACCTACCTGAAGTAAGTTCTTAACAAGGTAAAGTGCTGCAGGAATAGGGTAAACAATAACCTCATCCAATGATGTGCTCAATCTGAATAAAAACATTATGAGATGCATAAGAGAAAGAAATATCCAGAAGCCAACTTCAATTCATCACCAGTTAGCAAAACAATGAAAATAAAACAATAGCCATCTTTTGGATGCCTACATGGGTCTAGGATGGACCTGATGTTCAGCCTGCTGATGAGACTCACACTTAGACTGCTATAAGCCCAAATCCAGATAGCCCAACAAAAAGACAGAGGTTGCTCATGCTGCCATGGACCCAATAAGATATTTGGAACATTCTAGTATCTTTGAGGATTTCTTTAGATTTACATAGGGGCCGTTTGGCAAGTCTTTTTTGAAAGATCTTCTGGCAGACCCAACAGCCAAAAGACGATGTGAGCTTTTGCATTAAGATCTTAGCAGCCTGAATACCGTTTGGTTAAGGCATGTCTTTCTGCATGTCTTTTCGCACGAAGACTCGATGAAAAAAGTCGAAAAGCTCCATTTGGAGCTTCCCGAAAATAGCCCAAGACGGGCTTCACGCGTCTTTTCAGGGCGGCTAGATCTTTTCCCAGCCAAATGGTTAAAGATGAAAACGCGGGCTGCTGCGCTTCTAAACAGCCAACGGCCCACACGGAAACTCAGAAAGATGTGCCAAGCAGGGCCATAGACAATGAAAAATAACCAACCCTTAATAGCTGGGATTAAGGGTAAGTTGTGTTGAGTTGAATTGGCATTTCTAAAAATATCTTTAGGATATATTGTTACTGTTGTTTAGTAGGTTTCTATTGTGATTGATGATGTTTTAGGAAATTAGGGGAAAAAAAAGATGATGAACAAAGGGCTAAGCTATAGGGAAAAAAGGGAAAGAATGATGACATTGTGGTGTGTATCACCATCAGGACTGGAGCAAATATATCCCAACTTTGAGTTACCCTCACATTTGCATCTTTTAATGCGCTGAATCAACCAAACACTCAAAACAATCTGTATTAATCTGTTACTGGCTATTTATTTCATCTTATTTTTTGATCAGCATATGACCTAAGAATAAAAGTCATAAAGATGTCATATTATAAGTTCAATGCAATTTTCTCCCTTTATTTATTTCATCTTCTCAGGTTATGAAAATTCAAATTCAATTCTACCAATATATTTTTGTTTGTTTTAGTTTGTTTACTGTTTGCCTTTTCTTTTGATCAGTTATTAGTTACTTTGGTTTTTCATCATAATGTTCTTTAATCAAAAAATGACAAGGATCGAAGAGATTTATAGTTGATATCGAGCAGTATAATTATAATGGAGCTTATTGGTCTGTGTATTTTCTTGTCAGTTCAGGACCACATTAGCTCTATCAGGACTTGTTATTTTTATGATTCTTCAGAAATTGGTTCAATCATAAGATTCGAATTAAAACCTGTCGGGTTCATGATCTGAATCACATCATATATCATAAGGCTTTGAAACATTGTTGAACATATGTTCTTACACTTTGAGTTAGCACCATGTAACCATGACCATATAAGCTGCTATGCCTGTTAATTTTTTTTATCAGCAAATATATATGACCTGTTAATTGTACATCAATTTCATTTGATGAAGATATACCCTCTGCATGGTTTGAGATAACATGTTGATGATGTTCCAAGCAGAAGTCAACAACAAATGTTTAGACTAAGGTGTTATGAGAAAGAAGTTAACATTCACATTTTCCCTGGTGTGTATCATTTATCCAAGTTTAATGTAGGAGGAAAAGTTGTATGTTTAATGCCACCTCAACATGAAGTTTCAATAAATAGACAATTTATTTTTCAAATTTGAAAAAAAAAGGTCACAAACATAAGTATGACAAAGTGCATATTTTCCATTGTTATTTACAAAACTGCAGTTAAAACTAAAACCACATTACAATTATCACAGCATTAAAGAAATATTGAAATAAAAGGGAGGTTGGTGAGTGGTGGTGGAAGAAATTTACTTGTTATCTTCAGTAACACCCTCAGTTCTCCAAATTCTTAACAAGACAGCAAGTGAAATTGCACATTTCAAAGCCTCCACCTAATTTGAAACAGGAAGGCAGGCATCCAAGGGTCAAATAGATGCACATGGATTTAAATGCTTTGATAACATTTTCAACAAGGTTCATTATCCACTCACCGAGAAGTTTGCAGTAGTCACACTGTACTCATACTTTCCAGCTCTTTTAGACCAGGCAATTAATATTGCCTGTGAACTCGTAAGAACAGTTAATGCAATTGTAACCATTGACCTATAGCAATAGAAATGGAAATAAGAAATCAAAATGAAATGTCATTCGAGACTTCTCGGTAGCTCTTACTTAATCTTCCATTTAGACCGATCACTTGAGCTCACCAAGGCAGCCATGTTATGCACTGGAACTGCATGATCAATAAATACTATAACAATTACTAGAAGACAGACTGGTGCATCAAAGCCACAATAATATAAACAATTTAGTCAGTTCATGCTGTCTCAAGTTCAAGGTTGAACTGTAAAGATAAAGCACACCACCTGAAAGAGGCTTGCCACGCAAAATTTCTATATCGGCTTCACCTGCATCCCCATCTTTATCCTACAAGTTACATCATTGGAAAACCGAAGTCAATCACAATTCACAAACTCCAGAACAGCCTCGCAAGATTTAAGCATACTAAAGCTTCAACCCAGTTAAACTGATTGGAATGGATAAAATCAACGACCAGCATGCAACATAGAGTTCCATGCAACTTCACAGCTTTAAATTCATAATATGACTAAATCAAATTAATGAAGACAGAATTTAAACTGAAAATGAAGAATGTTAATAAAAGGTCAGATGAGATTTAAAATTTTCTAATTCCAACCAAATCTCAGTGCCGGTACTGCAGATTCAATAGAAATAAACTAACCAAAGGAAGCCAGATTGAAAAGGAAAGCTGTATAAGCAGGGTTAGATTTGAAATTAATCAAATGAACCCAGATGTAGACTAAATCAATAGCCATAAGTTAGGAATAAGGACTCCATGCCTTGCCAAGAAAGTGGAAAACAACTTTATAGTTAATTTAAGCTAAGTTTCACCCCTTGCGTTGTTTGCTAAATCAAGTTCCAATTCAACAATACCCCGGCGACAGCATGCTCCGTAGAAAGTATACAGTGCAATGAAGTATACAGTCCAAAAAACTGATCAACTCAGAGCTTCACTGTTTTTAAAAATGCACAAAGATGTATACAGTGCAAAGTCGATTTTTTTAGGAAATGCAAAGTCGATTTGAATAGCGCACAAATTGCGAAAAAAAAAAAAAAAAAAAAAACAGGATGGATAAAACGAAATAAAAATTGTAACTAAACTAAGTTTTAAATCAACGCACAGAAAGGAAAATATCGAAATTAACACCTGATCCTTGATTTTCCTGTACTCCATTGTGAATCCAAAAGGCGAAAATGCAACCTCAGCGAAGATCTCCTATTCTTATTCTCTTCTTGTTAGTTCTTCTTGTGTGCTTCTCCAGTGATGCAGATGCTTTCGCAATTCGCAATTGTCATCGACACTTCTTTATTTTATGAAAAATGATATCAAGGACCTTTGTATTTTGATTAATGCCAAATCTTACCCTTTAAGTTGTAGGAAATGGGTCCTATGTCTACAAATTTTCTTAAAGTATAACGGGTATTCTCATAATTACATTAAGCCTCCCAGTGTTTTGATAAACTTCAAATCTTACCCGCTCGCATGACAACCCCACACGCCCAGCCCCCCAGCCCAGAGTCCGGATTTTCTCACAAAGTGTGCCTCACACCGACCTCACTTTATGTCTTAGCCGGGATATTTCCCGTACTTATATTTATTATTTATGGAAAGATGTTCTCAATAAAAGGTGGGATGTGACCATAAAATTAGTGTGAGGCACGCTCTACGAGGAATAAATCCCAATTCCCCTACCCAGCTTCTAGCCCAACCACCCTGCCTGACTGAAGTTAATATGTTTGATAAAATATCTCTAATGTTATCTTTTTTGTTTCCCAAAAATCCAAGGGCATATGTTTGATAGTATGTTTGGTAATACGATTTGATAATTTGATAATATGTTTGATAAAATTTCCCAGTGAAATTCTATTAATGTCAGAGACCAAGGGTTAGGACTGGCACTATAAAGATTTTATGTCCATGTAGACTTAGAGAGTGCATAATAATTGTTTCTCGAGATGAAAAGGATGAGAACTTTGGACATGAATTTTGTGATTGTCTTTATTATGTAAGTTAAATTTAGGGGATATATACATAATTTCTCGGGGTTAGGAGGAAAATTGATAACATGTGTTTCGTTCTTGGTACGTAGTACGTCTGAATAGAAGATATAACTTCTTCTTGTGTGGAAAGATGAAGACAAGATTTGTCTATGTAGAATTGGGGCTTATGGAATGTTCACATCCAAACAGGCTAGCACAAAAGGCAAACAGTTTTGGGTTTGTGTCATGCCTCAGGTAAGATAACTTGTACAAAACTATTATTAACTTAGATCAATCAACCTACCAAATCCCATTTTATTATCTAGGAGTAAGATGGATGTAAGTTCTTTTCATAAACACCTTCAATGGAGAAGCCTATTATGCAACACATTGTAGTGTAGGGAGAGTAATCATTAAAGGATTAAAGGAGATGGATTTGGACCTTTTGGAAGCAATTAATGACAAGTCCTCTAAACATATACTAAATAAAGTTATAACAATATTTTTGAGAATGACAACTTAGATAGAATGTCTGAATTTTATGATAAATTGCTAAAGCATATAAAAATTGTGTACATCAAAGATGTATAATATGTTGGACACCCTAATATGTTTTGTTATTGTTGTAAAAACTGGTTAACAAATAACATTTGAACTCTTTAGCTTTTAAGTGTATTGTTGTGGTTGGTTTGTTAAGTTCTTTTAGAGCTCCTGTGTTACATAGTGTATAACATTTGAACTCTGACCTTAAAGGTGTAAATCAGGCCGTGTAGTGGTCCATGGGCTATGCCACAGCCTGATACAATTGTATGGGCCGATGGAATGTGTTGGGTTTGGGATTTCAGGTCAATGGGCTAGATCGACATGGCCCGCACTATCATGTCGTGCCACCCGTGGCCCATGGATATATATATTCCATTTCATTTGGAAAATGCAGTCGGATGTTTGGGGTAGTATAAATGATAAGGGGTGGTAACTCATATCACGGGCGGAAACTTTGTGCAGAGTTCCATCCTAGGTAATTCAGTCTTATGGTTCTTCATTATCTGCATATGGCCTTTTCTTCCTATGTGCACATTTTGTCTGGGCTTTCAGTTTAATGTTTCTATATTTAGCGGCCGTGGTTATATATATATATATATATTAATAAATAAATGTTTTAATTTTATTATACTATTTTATTTTATTATTGTATATAAGTAATTGTATACATTAAATTTCATATAAAATTAAGTTTTTTTCAATTTTTTTTAACTAAATAACTTTGGCCCAGTCTAGCCCAAGGTTCAACCCACAGACCAGCCTAACCCGATCTGACATGGGCTCGGACCGACCACCAAAATATCACAAGGGAGGGAGGCACGGCCCATAGACCATGCCATGTCAGCCCAGCACAGCTCGTTTTACACCTCTATCTTACCTACATGCAAGTTAAATTCCCTTAAATCATTGAGCTTGGATTTAGAGCTTACAATTCCTCTTAGACTATTTACGTTCCCTTTAAACCATTAAACTTGATTTGGAGTTCGGAAAATCATCCACAATAAATAAATTGGGACACCCAATTAATAATTATTTCCTTTTCATTACTTTAATCCCACAAAAATGTGTAGTAAAGCATGGAAATCTATAGAATCAAAGGATTAAGGCCACGTGGGTGCACACTGTCATTGCCCTGGCAAAATAAGGAGTTAATAGAGGGCACCCTTGTGGGGGGCCAATGAGGTCCTCTTGGAATAACTAGTGGGGTCCTCTTAGAAAATCATCAAATTGGGTACCCAAGTTGTAACCCCAGTTTGCTAATTTGATTACAAATAGAGTCCTTACAATTAAGCCTCACAGAATGTAGGCTATAGGAACAAAGAATATTCCAAGAATAAACCTTTCATGGTGTTGAATATTTAGAATGAAATGTGTATGAGAAATGGGGAACTTAACAACAGACCTTTCCGGGGAGAAGTTATGGGTGCCACAACTATTGTTCCTACCTTTAGAGCTCTCTTTTCAGAAAGAAAGTCTTCAAAAAGCATCATCGCTATCCTTTCATCAGTAAGAACAACCAATAACCTAGTGAAGTATCATTTGTTGACAGACACCAAAGTTAAAACAAGTAGTTTCAATGTCTGTTTACACCTGTATGAATATCAGCAATGGTCTTTTGAATATCAACATTCCTTGACTTGATAAGAAAACCAAAAGACTAATTCTATTGTGATGCATGGATCTAAATATATCAATCAGCTAAACTCTATTGGATATATCAAAATTCCTTGGCTTGATAAGAAAATGACATCGCATAAGAAACCCCACTGAATATATTGTCATTCAAGTAAAACTCTACTAATATCCCATAAGTTTTTGGCCATTGCCTTAAGAAACCTTATTGAATATATCATCCAAATAAAACCTTACTAAATATATTATCACTAATAAAAAATCATATGTAAAACCTTATTGTATATTATCCTTGATAATAAAAGCATATGAAGACCTAGTATCCCACAAGAAAACTCTACTTAGTCAAATATATTATCAGTTAAACAAAAACTCCATTGAATATATCACTCAAATAAATAATCTCAACCACTAATATCCCATAAGAAAACCTAGACAAGTAAGCTTCACTCACTATATCAATCAAATAATTAAGCTTATTCACCAATATCCCATTAGAAAACCTGCATAAGTAGGCTCTACTCATTATATTAATAAAATAATTAAGCTCTATCACTGATATCCCATTAGAGAACCTACACAAGTAGGCTCTACCCACTATATCAATCAAACAATTAAGCTCAATGACTAATATCCCATAAGAAAATCTACACAAGTAGATCATGTTGGATACATGTATGCACCCAAGTCTCATAGGGAAATTGTATAAGTATATCACTCAATTAAATCAGCTCAAACATTAATATCCCATAAGAAAACCTACACAAGTATATTATGTTAGATACATGTATGCATCCATGTAGCATAAAAAAAAAATCTAGTGAAATCTTTTCAATGTTGTAAACTTCACTAAAAAATGGAAAATTTCCACATTAGTGAAATCTTTTCAATGTTGTAAACTTCACTAAAAATTGGAAAATTTCCATATTATCCATAAAACATAGTGTACACATTGAACCACAGTAGAGTACACAATATAAACATCAACTTACCTGTATATAAACAACTAGAGCATGGGTCTATCAACTAGCTAAAGTATGCAATTTACACACCATCTTAAAGTAATCCAGTCACGAAAGGGTCATTCAGAAAAAAAAGAAAAAAAAAAGAAAAAAGTATTGAGTGGGTTGTCATTATATACTAAAAGTATGGGGGTGTGGATTTATCAAATAGCTATACGAAAAAAAGTATGGTTTTGTCAATCCATGGCATTGTCGAATACACGATAATTAGCCTAAGATTGTGTCCATGGAACTGTCAACTATGCAAAAAAATAATAATAATTGTCCAAAAAAGTATAGGGGATAATGTAAGACCATCAACATTAAAATTTACTCAATGATAAAATGTTCTCAATGTAAGTGTAGGTGGGTAGGGGGTAAGGCAATAATTAGGCTTCGTTTGGTTTGTGGGATGGGGATGAGAAAAAGGGAATATTTTGAAAATATATTTTTTTTCTTTCTTTTATTTTGAGAGAAATAAAGGAATGGGATGAGAAAAATGTGGAATGTCAGATCTCAACATCGTGGATTTGGGGTCGCATCAAAACTGTGCAGCCCCGGTGGAAAATTTTGAGAAATCACTATTACAGGTACCAGTGACGCCGAACAAAGGAGGGAGAGAACTAGTGCCTTCCCTGTTACCATCGGCGCTCTGTGCAAGGGGCAGAGGAGGTAGCGGTGGCAAAAAAACCTGTGCGAGGAGCAGCGGCGATCTACTACCTCCCCTTCCCCATTTCGAACCCGGAACCAAAGCAGCAGCGGCGGCACCCCCTCTCAGCCACTCCCTTCCTCCCTCTTTCCTTTCTTCTTCTCTTCTTCTTCTCTTCTTCTTCTCTTTCTTCTTCTTTCGTTCATTGTCTAGTACCTCCCCTTCCCCGTTCGAAACCAGAAGCAGAGCAGCGGCGGCACCCCCTCTCAGCCACTCCCTTCCTCCCTCTCAACCACTCCCTTCCGTTCTTCTTCTTCCTCGTTCGAACCTAGAAGTAGAGCAGCGGCGGCGATGACCAGGATCATTTACCCTCTAGTACCTCTCTGTTCATCATCTTGGCTTTCCGCCAGCAAACTACTGCCTCCGATGGCATTGTTCGCTTTCCAATGGTGACTAGCGGCACTGTACATTGTCTTCGCTTTTCGCCCACGAACAATTGTT